GGAAAAGAAAGCAAGAAAGAAAGACCAACACATCATAACCAAACAGGGCTATAGTAGGATTCCAAGGGAAGTTTTAAATTTTTGAAGTAAGTCATCATATTAGTTGAACTGAACACAGGAAAAAATCATTGAGAAAAAATATGATTTTATTTTGTTAATTTTAAAATTGAATTTAGCCCAGCTGGTATAGCTCAGCAGTTGAGCATCGACCTAGAAACTAAGAGTTGCTGGTTCGATTTCTGGTAAGGGCACATGCCTAGGTTGTGGGCTCAATCCCCAGTGGGGGGAGTGCAGGAGTCAGCCTGATTGATGTTTCTATCTCTCTATCCCTCTCCCTTCCTCTCTCTGTAAAAATCAATGAAAACATATTTTAAAAAATAAAATAAATTGAATTTATTAGGGTGACATTGGTTCATAAAACCATACAGGTTTCAAGTCAAATAAAACATCACCTGCACATTGCATGATGCGCCCATCTCTCCAAGCAAAGTCTCTTTCCATCCCCATGTTTCTCCCCTTTGCCCACCTCCACTCACCCTATGTGAAAAGATGCCCAACCATCCTCATATTAAGAGAAATGAAAATTAAAACCACACTTGGCATACCATTTCTAACCTACGAGATTAGCAAAAATCTAAAAGTTGAACAATCCACTCTGCTGGTGAATTTGTGGGAAAACTGCTGGGGGTTGTCAAAGTGATACAATCATACAGAGGTGTGGATGGAAATATTTACCAAATTAAAATGCACTTAATTATGACTCAGAAACTTCACTTCTGGAACTCTATTCTATGAATACATTCACACACGTTTGGAAAACATATTACAAGGTGGCTCATTGTGACATTGTTTGAAATAGAAAAGTATAGGGAAAAAAATCTGTGTTCATCAGTTGGGCTCAAAGAAATCAATAAAATCAAGTAATCAACATGATTCCAGCCAGTAGACTCAAGCATCAAGATGTAACATTAGAAGAAAATAACATGGTTTCAAAGCCAAGACAAACTAAGAGCTGGAAACCAGTATATCTGACAAATTGCAATTCGGGGGGGAAAAATTGGAATCAATGAGTCCAGATTGTATCCAGGTCTTCTAGAAGAATGTTACAGTAGTACTTACTATTCCTTAATTGCGCTGCTATTTCTTAAAAACTAATTGTGTATTACATAATGTATCTGCAATCAGAAAAGCAATAAATCTGATTGTAGATGCATTAATATAAATTCTAAATAAAACATTAGTAAACAGAACCCAACAGTACACTGAAAGACTAACATATCAGAAATCTAATGAACAAAATAAACTGAGGAGCAAAATAGGTCCAGAGACATGGATACATGGAACAAAATAACAGATCTGGCGGGGGGGAGGAGGGTGCAGGAAGAGATTAACCAAAGAACTGGCACATTAATATAATCATCCTTAAACAAACATGCCAGGGGCAAGAAAACTCTTTATCAAAGAAAGTTAGCTAATAAATATAGAAAGATGATAGAATTAGAAAATCACCATTTTGCAACCCCCAAGTTAACCATTGTTTTAGGTGAAGATCATCAATGGATGCTAAAACCATCTTGTGAAAGCATACTTGAGTGTTATGGGCTGAAATGTGTTCCCCCAAAATTCATATGTTGAAGCCCTAATCCCCAGTATTGCAAAATGTGACATATTTGGAGATAGGGCTGTTAAAGAGGGGATTAAGTTAAAATGAGGCCTTTAGGATGATTCCTGATCCAATCTGACTAGTGTTCCTATAAGAAGAGGAGATTAGGGCATATAAAGAGACACCAGGTGTGTATAGGACAATATTCTGTCCTTAGCTGCAGATATTAAAATATTCTGACCTGCACTCTTGCTCGTTTTTAACTAAATACACACATAAATGTGAAGATTTGCAACTGGCCTGCCCCAGGATGCAGAAAATCAGTGCCAGAGTTTAAAGAAGACTCTGATCCTCCTATTTAAAGTGGCAGTCCCCCAAAATTTCCAACTCATATCACTCAGCCCTATCCACCCTCCTTTAGCAATTATCACCTCTTAATAATTTATTATTAGCTCTCTTCCCCTCTAGGATGCCAGGTTCATGAAGCTAGGGATTTAGGGGCTCTTCTGTTTTACCAAACATCAGATACTAAGGGCAGTGACTGGTGATCAATAAATATTTGATGAATGAACAAATAGTCTCATATACTTGTAAGTTCTCCCTCTCTTTAGTATTTCCTGCATTACTCATATCAAATCAATTTTATAATTAGTCATATCACCCAGAGATGCCTGCAGAGTCTTTTGGAGGGAATAATTAATCTCTTAAGAAAATGAGTCCAGTGTGTGTGTTTTGCTGCTCTCTACATGTGTGGTAAAGATACCAAAAATAAGCAGTTGATTATTCCACATATGTGAGGAGCAGAAGTCATTGCAGTATCAGCATGAACAAGTCAATGAGCAAACAGTAAATCAATAAGATAATTTCTGATAAAAAGGAAGGCTATGAAGAAAACTAAAGCATGGCAAGGAGCTTAAGTAGTGGGGTAGGTCAGGGAAGAAAGACGCCTGAAGAAAAGACATTTGAGCAGACATGAGTGGCATGATGGGGTGAGCCATGCAGCCAGGGCATGCATATATATATGGCAGGAGCCTCAGTAAGTGTCAAAGCTGTGGAGATCCTGCCTCCTTGCTATCCTACCATCTCCAGTCTTGCCCCATTCAAGGAAGGGGCAGCACTTTTCTCCATGCAAACTTTCTCTTTTTACATATAAATATCGACCTAACAATTAAATTTTCCCAATTAATTAAAATACTTTGTTTTAATATACACTAATATTTACGCA